TCGATGTTATCGACAACGGCATCTTCCCAACAGCCCACCAATGAACTGAATATATCCCGGTTTACGGTGCTTCTAGGACTTCGGTTTTGTAATTAAGCGGCTTTTTCTCCTTTCCGCGAAAAATGGAATCTTTCACGAAGGAGGCAGTGGTCTGATCCCGTGTAGAATTTTGGGACAACAGCGACATCGGTTAGGTAAAACCTTCTATTTACTATGATGTGGTCTATTTCGTTATGGTACTCTCCATTGGGAGACTCCCACGTCCAGCGCTGAAAGTGGGGCTTCTGGAATTGCGAGTTACCATGTATTGTCTTGGTCGCCATGATAAACTCAGCCGCTCACCCTGTTCGTTCCATTCTAATCCGTGGGTCCCAATATGGCGTTCTTCAGACGTTGCTCCAATCTTGGCGTTGAAATCTCCGATGATGACTTTGAAGAATGTGTGGTCCTCTCTGTAGAACTTCTCTAAGTCCATGTAAAGATAGAGTCCTTCGTCTTCTTCTTCTTCACAGTTCGATGTCGGCGCGTAAACGACGAATATTGTCAAAGGCGGAATTGATTCTCGTCTTCTTAATCGTAAACGTCCGATTCGGGTTGCAAGTTGTTCAAATGAATCGATGTTTATGGACAAACTCGTGTTGACGAGAACGCCGACGCCGCCGACTCCTCTACTGTCGCATGTTCCGAGGAACAGTTCTTCTCTGGTGTCATAGACGGCGTTGGAAGGCTGGCGTCTTTTCGTCTCGGCCAGGCCGATGACGTCGTACCTTATCCTTCTTGCTTGCATGAGCAAGTTTTCTATCGAGGACTCGGATGCAAGTGTACGTTCACTATAGGTACAGATCGTCACCATAGCTCTTTGAAATCCAGGCAGCTTCCATTGGCCCTGAGATTTTAGCAGCCTCTTCGTACTTGTCCTACCCAACGCTGCGAAATTGGGGGCTCTTTCGGGGTCAGGGAATGAGGCCCGTTCTTTTTACTGTGTTTAGCACTTTTTGATACCCACGTATAGCTTGCTGTGCCCTGAGCATGGGGCTGGGTATACTCACGGGTAGCTTGCCAGGCTCTCCTAGAGTGGACATGGAGCTTATTTGTTGGAGGCTACTCCTAACCGCCTACCATATACTTCCCAGTCACTTTATTGCAGGGTTTTGGCGTAATTAACTCGTAGAATACAATCCGCATAAGCAAGATCGCACCCACAAACGGCCTGTTGTGCTTGTGGCATGGGCGAATGAAGGGCTGGGTGTAGTGAAGTGTACGGGTCAGGAGCGGAATCTACCACTGTGAGTAATTTAAGAGCATCGTCTACGCTTTTCTTATGTTCTTTATCGCGTGAAAATTTGCGACCAAAGATTTGATATGCTGGTACTTGGCTCTCAAGGACTCATCTCGAGCGAAAGGTTAACCCTTCAGTTGAACACAACCGCAGGCGATTCACGAGTTGATTGTACTGTGTACATGTTTGGGGAAGATCGATCACTTGAGAACATCTAGTATTGATTTTAACACAGAGGGTACAATCTACATTTTTTCGAGTTCATCTTTTTTCTGGGTGTTTATTTTGTCGTGACAAATTGTTTTGACAGGGGGCCGTTAGCATAATGGCCAGTGATGTACGTCGTCACGATTATGGTGCTAGTTCGATTCCGCTCCGATACAACCAAGCCTCTCATTCCTCCGGAATCGGGGAATTGGCACCGGGCTTGTCCGGGGAAAAAACGACTCCCTGTAGTTCAACTGAGAACGCTCCAGCCGGACCATCCTAGGACTCCACGGAGAATTGCTCGACCAGCATTCTACGACATTCAAGATGAAATGGAAATCCTTAAGCAGCAACCGAAGCCACACGTAAAGTTGAAAGCTCTTCGCGGACAATGGATGCGAGGAAACGAATCGAATGCGGGAAGTGCTGGCATCCGAACATTATACCGGAAACCGGATCATATAAAATGAAATAAAATTTAAAAAGAGTTCTTAAGTTTCCAAGACCGACTTTCTGTTAACCTCGGCATTGATTGATAACTGGATTTTTTACCGGATGCAATGTGTGGAAGCGAGTTGCAATGTGAAAACGCCATGTATGCTGCAGTTAGATACGCCTATTTAAGTGTCCTCAATAGTTTCCCATGTTTTTAGTGGCAAATGTTTCTAAGTGTTCCAACACTTAAATAGGCGTATCCAACTATAGTATACATGTATACATGGCGTTTTCACATTGCAACCCGCTTCCACACATTATATCCAGTGAAAAAGAATCCTTATTGTTATGACCTCTTAGTGATGTCGTAAAAGGTTATCTCCAAAAAGAAAAGAACGTATGTAGCGCAGTGGTCGGAGGGGCGCTGCAATACATATGAGATCGATCCCCGTGTCCAGGCGTCACCAAACCTTCCATACCTCCGGCGTCGGCAGATTGGTGCCAGACTTGTCTGGGAGGATAGCAGCACTGGCCCGATACATCGGTAGGCCACCGCGAGTCATTGTATAGGTCAGGTATGCATTCAGTCACCCTTAACGATGCTTAATGAAGTAGAATCATGGCACTTCCTTCAGTGATTGATCAACGCTGAAAACTTTTTTTTACAATGTTTGTAGCTTACTGGTTCGCTCTTTTACATGCACAACAGTCAACCGCACACTTTATAATGTAAATCTTTTGCGCACAATTTGCATATGATTATAACTATTATAATCACCTACAATTGACAATTTTAGCACTTGCTGCATTTTTCCTCCATGTATCGATAAGCAGGTCGCAAACAAATTCGTCCTTTCGTGAGGCCGTGGAGATGATGTATCGTTTAAATTCGATGGGTACGCTCTCATCGTAGCCGTATTGCAACCAATCCATGTCACTTTCTATCACTGTCCATATCACTTATCACCACTGACCCTTTTTGGTTAATAAGACACAGTTATACGATTGATAGTCCTCGTATACTAGAGCATTTAAATTATATGGTACATAACTCGTATATAATGCTGAGTTCTTTGCAAAACTCCGGACCGCGGGTGTATGCGGTGCGGGACGAACGCGCTATTGTCCTTACCGGGGAGTAGCGCACTTCACCACCACACCATCCGGGTCCTTCGTTTTGCCTGTCTCTCAGCTAATTCTATTGATCTTTTTGCCATCAGCAATCACCCGTCAACGGGATTGATCTGGTAAGCCCAAATCGGCATTGAACCCAGTTAAGTGGAGGCTTAGTTATAATCACAATCTTAACTCTTTTATTTACTGCCTTTTTCTTTTTAATGGCATGGTATGTTGCGAAATATAACTCGTATATAATGCTGAGATATTTGCAAAACTCTGGACCGCAGGTGAGAGACAAGCAAAGCGAAGGACTCGGATGGTGTGGTGGTGAAGTGCGCTGCTCCCCGGTAAGGGCAATAGCGCGTTCGTTCCCCACCGCATACACCATACAAGGATTAAGATTGTGATTATATGGTAAATAGTTCACAATCTTCAATATCTTACGGACAAGAGAGCCTTAGGAAGCTTGCACACAAATGGCCTTTAGTTGTTTTCAATCCCATTCGTTATCCTGCAACCGTCATCCGTGGAGGTGGTTGCGTTTGTGTATGTGGTCGGCTGTGATTTGAGGATCTATCATCCATCCTCACTGATATGTTGGAAGCTGGAGAAGCGGGGTTTTCACAGCAACCGGCCTTTACAGATCGAAGAAAGGCTTACTGCTTGAGCCTCGGATTTTTCAATGGCGCCAATGTCTTTTGTTACGGAAGTGAATCGTGCGATGAGTGGACTAACTGCTCGAAGGTGATGTAACAAGCCAAATTACTCGCATATAAAACATAAAATCTGAAGAACACTCATCATACTTATCGCTAAAACTTTGACCTAACCAGAAGCATTTGAGCATTTTTGTAACTCTTTTACAACCACTGTGTTTACTTTTTATTTTTTGCCTTCTATTATTTTTCTATGGCAGGGTATTAAGCGATACAACTACAAGATAGCTGAGATATTTGCAAAACTCCGGACCGCAGGTGTCTGCGGTGGGGAACGAACGCGCTATTGTCCTTTCCGGGGAGTAACGCGTTCACCACCACACAATGAGGGTCCTTCGTTTCGCCTCTCTTTCAGTTAGTTCTATAGATCTGTGCCGTCAGCAATCACCCGTGGACGGGATTGATCTGGGGAGCCCACATCGGCATTGAACCCAGTTAAGCTGAGGCTGCAGTTGAAATCACAATGTTTACTTTTTATTTTCCGGTCCGGAATTTTGCAAATATCTCAGCAATCTTGTAGTTATATTTCTTTTACATTCATTTGAAATTAAAAATCTACGTCTTGACGTGGTGATCTCACCATTGTTTATGGAGTGATTATCATGCAGCAATCATCCAATAGTTCTGAATAGTGTTACGAATCCTTGGGTTTGACCAAAATCGCACTATGGAGCATGTATACGTAGGCTTGTCAGGTATGCTGTGTAGTGTGGCATAAGGCGTTCAACAGTGAGTGGAAACCCAATGGTCTCATAACTTTTGGAGACCACCAAAGCCACCACCACCAAAGCCACTTATGAGCATACCACTGTATTTCTTCCAGCCGGTAATTTTGCATAAATGGTCTTGCACCTCCTTCTAACGTAAATGGTGTGATATGAGATATAATCTAAAGTGTAATGATGCATATAGAATTGGTTCGGGCTCCACTGAGAAGCTTCTATTTCTGTTCTGCGCACGAACTGTTCAAAATCCCTCTTCTATAGTTGAGGACTCTTCGACCTCTTTAATGACTTTGTGTAAATCCTCTGTGAACGCAGCTAATTTTGTGGAGGTATTCTATTGAAAGAAGAGCTATTGTTTCCATGAAGCTACTGTTTTTTGAACAAACACTGTCCTCTAATCACTTTTGTTTTTAATCATTTTGTTTTAAAGTAAGAGGAAATAAACTTTCACAATGTTAAATGATTTTATTATGCTATAAACAGATGGCTTTGAGAACAGTTCATAAAAAATTCTACTGGTTATTTCTTCTCGGGATTATTTTTTATTTCGTCGGGGTGCAGTACTTCTTCGAGATCGACTGAGATCTCCGGCTGTAGCGTGGGCTCCTCTTTTCGAGCTTCCCTTTTTCTCTTATTTTCGCTGCCTTCGTAATCACGACTCACTTCTTCACTGAACGAGCGAATATGATGATGGTGGTCGACCATCTCTGAAATTGTAGCACCGTTTTTAAACACTTTTTAAACGGTTGAGGTACCACTCAATAAATGCTCATGGGCATGGACGATACCGTTTACGGGGTGGGGGTGCGCACAGCACGGTGAGTTGCAGTCATTGATGCTTAAAACTGAAAAGTTATCAAGAGCTCTATTGCTAGTAATAAAATCCCGCAGCTAAATATGAAGCTTTCGGTATTGATCAGCCCCTGAAGTGTGCGCCATGAATTCGACTTCATCAAGCATCGTTAGAGATGATTGAATGCTTATCTGGTCTATGCAATGCCTTGCGGTGGCTTACCGTTATATCAGCCATTGCTACTATCATCGAAAATAAGTCCCGAAACTGTTTAGTTACTCCGGAAGGATGGAAGCCTTAGTGAGGCTAGGGTGTGGGGTCGAACCGACAACCACGTGTTTTGCAGGGTACCTCTAACCACTGCTTTACACGTGCCCCAATGTTGCAGTTATGCATAGAAAATCATCTACCGATGGTGAAAAGCAACAGTTATATTCCATGTGTTGGCAAAAACGTCCCTCTGAACGAGTGTTTCCCTTGTAAATGCCAGAGCCTACCTGCTTCGTCGTTCCGCCTGTGGTGTAAGAGCTTAATCTTTTTTCGCTCAATTTCTTCTTCTGTTAGATAATCATAGAACAACAATGGAAATAGCCCAATTACTGATCCCAGAAGAAGACCTGATGCCTGAAAACGCATACGGACTGTATAAATTCAATTCATTTTTATCGAAAAACGAGAATTCCCCGTAAAATTCCCACTGTTGCCCAGTTGGACACCCTTGCCAAATCCTTATTGTGCATTTGTTCTGGAGAGAGCACTGGGAACCTTAAATGCTTATCATGAACAAAGAAGTACAGAAAATCATTGAAATCACTTCTACTGGCTTTACTTGATTTAAGAATTCTTTGTGGTTCTTTCCTCTCAACGGTTCACCACCTCATCGTGGCTGCAAGGTGTTCCTAGGTGTCGGGCTGCAATGTACAACAGGGGTGATTCAACCCCTCGGCAGGGTCTCCCAAGGTAAGAAGGAGTCCAGCGTTTCCTTAAGGCAGCATAGCTAAGAGCAAATCAATACCAGGATCCACCACCGTCCTGATATCAAACTAGTCGCATGATGGTAAATCTCCCTTCGATCCATAAGGGCGGCGACTTCCTGTGGTGGTGACGACCTGGGGCAGACTGGCCTGGCCGATCTCGGGACGCCATGTAACGACAATGGCTAAATCAGCAAAACTACGAAGAATGAAGATTTTGCCGAGGCTTGCACAACGAGTGAGGACGGGCTGTCCAAGTATTCAAGTAAGTATTCAAGTGGTCCTTTAAATTTGAGGACATAAACTCCCTGACTTTAATCCAAATCGCTCAATTAGATGTCCGAAGCGAATTTGAACTAGATGTAGCACAAATTTCGTCAAGACATTTCCAAATGCGGCAGCCCCCATGACTGACACTCCATAGAAGGCAGCAAATGTACTAAAAAATTAATGGTAAAATCCTTCTACAGTAACTGCAATTTTTAGATAAGCAATGTAACTAGCTATATATTTCTCCGTTGTGGGGATCTCGAACTGGTTGGTCGCGTAGTTGTATGGAACGTTCACAATTGACGGATAGGTGGTACGACGCGAACTAGAAGCTATCGCATTGCCCTGGGGTACAGATGGATTAAAAGGTAGAAATGTTATTATCATATAAATTTGTTAACATGCTTGCGCATACGCCGACTGTATTGTGCACGGGTACTGCATTGATATGCGGATAGTATCTCTCCAAAAGCGGTGAAACTAAAAGGCTTCTCTTCGAAGAAGGTAACACTACCGGTGGTAGTGATAGCGTTCAGCTGACCCTAGGTTGGTAAAAAAACTTTAATTCGGCTAACATTTCGACGCCTTTGCCTTTTTCAGATCCCCGTTGGTGCCAGTCAATGGTCCACAGCTGGTCATTGTCACAATATGGGGGCTTGCATTTGCACAGAATTGAATCCAGCGATGGGACGGACCAAAGCACCTCCTTCTGGGCCGCGAGAAGGCGAAGTGGCCTAAACGTTAACCACATAAAAGGCTTTTATACCAACCTCGTGCCAGCTTAATGATGTAGAGGATTAGGATTACTAATTATTCTTACAGAACTCTAATGAAAGTCGGTTTTTAAGATATTGCATAGCAACTATTCCCCGAATAGCTCCTCTGTTACCGCTGTGTTCGACAACACAGATGGACACAGCATTGATCGGTTAGCCTATGGCTAAGCTACTCTCTTGCTCGTTTGACTGGCCAAGTTTGAGATATTGCTCTTTAGCAACGTCAAAAAGTGCCACGTGGCAAATTCCTATGAAGCCAAGCATTGCGCTTTGAGTTGGTGATTATTAGGTAGGAGAACTAACTCGAAGACCATTTTCCACTGGAAACTGCTGTATTCATGAAGCACTGCTCTAAGCACTACATTCTTGGTGCATCGACCAAACTACTGGATTAAAGCATTCACAAGACAATCAATCTCACAGTGGGAAACCAGAAAAGAGACCGCCGTGCGTTTTTATTCGTTACATAATGATATCTTCTATGTCTTTGCGTCAGGAGGCTTTTACAAGAGCCATTAACCGACTCCCGGGTAATCTAAATGATAGTGAAGACTTACTAATGACGAAAATAGAGCTCTCCCAGGATGAAGTTAACCGCATTCCCTATGTTAATTCGCTACGAAAATAAATCGAAAATTCAACATTTGACATTTAGTTCGAAACGAACAACGAGCAAATAGCACTGGACAAGTATAATGTAGAAGCTGACCGTCTTGAGCCAAACATCTCTTTAATAGATGTCCGCTGAAGAGAATGCAACCATCGAAGAAACCCTTGAATTACTTGACAGAGCGACACGCCATCTCTCAAGCTCATGAAGCTAGAGAACATGATGGAAGATGCGGAAACCAACATCCCAAATAACATTGACCTCAACCCACTAGTAGCAAAGTTACAACCAATCTTTATTCCGAAGTTGAGCAGGAAAATATATGAATGGGAAACATTCTGGGAAACAATGTTAACCTTTTTATTTCCTGCTTACTATAATTTTTCACTGCAGGGTATCATGTGAAATACAACCAAGATGGTGCTGAGAAATTTGCAAAACTCCGGACTGCAGGTGCCTGAGGTAGGGGCCGAACGCGTTGTTACCCTTTCCGGGGACTAACCCGCTCACCACCACACCATGCAGGTCGTTCGTTTCGCTTATCTCTCGGCCAGTTTCCTATCGAGCACTACCATCAGCAATCACCCGTTAACGGGATTGATTTGAGGAGCCTAAATCGGCAATGAACCCAGTTAAGCTGAGACTGAAGTTGAAATCACAATCTTAACCTTTTTATTTACTGCCTACTATAATTTTTCACGGCGGAGTATCATGTGCAATACAACTAAGATACTGCCGGGATATTTGCAAAACTCCGGACCGCAGATGTCTGCGGTGAGGAAAGAACGCGCTACCACCCTTTCCGAAGGCTAACGCATTCATCACCACACCATGCGGATCCTTCGTTTCGTCTGCCTCTCTAATAGCGCGTTCGTTCCCCATCGCGGACACCTGCGGTTTGGAGTTTTGCAAATATCTCAATTGTATTCTGGGTAACGTTCAATTATTTAGTACAGTCACGAAAGATAGTCGATTTCAGCAAAATGAATTATTTTTGCTAGACATTCTTCAAGGAGAGGCAGAACAATTCGTTAAGCACAGCGATAAATCTCAGGAAGCATAGCCAGTGGCGGCACCACATTTGAAAGAAAAGTATTGGAACCCACCAGCTCTTCCAAGGTGATTATCTCGAAGGTCAGGAAAATGTGTGAATTGCCTTGTTCAGTGGTCCTTTAACTACACCAGAAAGTTGGACCTATTGACAATGAGCTCCTACAGTAACAAATTCTCGAGACGTTTACGAAGAATATCCAGAGATACGCCCTGCGACAGAGGGATGAACGTAAAGAAGACTGAACACTGAAGTCGGAAGAACTTCCGAAAACCATTAAGGAACATCTCAGAAAACAATTAGAACTACAAAACTAAGTTTACAAAAAATAGAACCAGCATATATTCATGTTTCTACTGCAAAGAACTAGGACACTCGCCAAACCACGAAAGATTACGAATTATGAAAGATCGAAATCTTTGCTTTAACTGCGAATCGAGGTCACCACACTCCAAGTTGAGGTCGCAAGTGAAGCTGCTGCCGTGCATGCAGCAAACGTGGACATCACACCTCCATTTGCAATGTGCGTTGACCCTCAAGTAAACAGCAGTCTCACCAGCAAGAAACCAGTAAGAGCAAAAATAATCACTATCTCGCAATCAACGCCATACAGAATAAGAATGCTACACCATCGAAAATCAACACATTAACACCCAAATAAGAGCAACAAAACGATACCAAATTTTAGCAGGACAAGCATAAATTTTTAATCCGAGCACTCCATTACAAGAATTGAAGAGAGTATTCAGAGATTTCCGGACCGCCGCCTTGGTAAAGCATATCATCCACCGAGCGCACCGCTCGAAAAACGTTGCTAGCCGACATATCCTCAATATAGGACACGCGATCTATCACCTGAGAAGACACGAAATACTTATAATGCGTCCACTACCTCAGCATTACAACGGTCCGATGAGGCTCGAGTGGGAACAACGATCGAATACGGCGGATATGTCAACGTATCTATTAAACCTACACACGGACTCAAAAGCCGAATCCAATATCGAAAGACTCGAAGGCAACCGAGGCCACTTGGAGAAAGTCAAACGGATACCACATTACAGAGAAATGATAGGAGACTTATAAACGGGGACCTTGGGCCTCATGAAGATGAGTCTGCTTTCATCTCTCCACTGCACTGATTGCCGAGAGCAGAGTAGGAGACCTCCTCCATAAACTGATGAACGTTTCCATTTTTTCACTCCTTTTTCTCCACATATGCTTTATCGCACCGGAAGAACCTTCCATCTTTTCCCTAAAACATCGCTTACCCTTCCAGTTTTTCTTGTCATACAGTAGAAGTAGAACACAGCTGTTAAGCCTATGTATACGACATACGACAATCAGCGTCCTTGTGCTCCTCCCGTTCATCGTATGCTTCACTCCACGGAGGGAACCCCAATTGTTAACTCTACCTGCACATGGTTACCATCATTCGTTAACTCCATTACCTTTGAACGCATTAACTTCATTGTGCGATCGAGTTAATGTTATCACAAGCTTACGTGTACTGCCTAATACGTTAACACCACCGTATTGTCATTATAAGTCAGGGTTATTATAGCCTCTCATGAGGCTCGGTGGAGAACCACTGCGCGAAGAACCACATCGCGAGAATGATTCATCTGTGGATTGTCGGCTCGGATCAATCGGGCTCTGAAGACGACAAAGAGATCGAAAGGTTAGCCGAATAAACTTTTCCATTAACCTCGTATTCGTTCAACAATCCTAGGAGGAATTTTTTTGTATTCTAGTATTCTTAGTATTTTCTTTGTTGAATAAACAGTCAGAGTATATCAAGTTCACCGAAGAGAAACCGAAAGAAAAATGGCTTCCATTCCTGAACGTCCAAATTAACTTGTCAGAAAATGGCTACATTACGAAGTGGTACCGAAAGCCAAGTAGTAAAAACATCTTGGTACTTTATCTCTCCTCTCACCTCTCTCACACGAAAAGGGTGCTTGTAAAAAACATGCTTCGAACAGCTACTAGCGTGTGCACAGGAAGAGAGCACAAAGAAGAATACCGAGAACTGGCGCGGGAAATAGCTATCTCCAAT